GCCGAGGAGGCGGTGGTTTGCTTCCGGGAAGAAGAAGAAGAGGAGGACGGAGGCGGCATCACCTTCTTCTTCTTTGCCGGCGGTTGAGCAGACTTTGACACTGACTTGCCCGGGGTGGGCGGGACGGAGGAAGAGGTGGAAGCACGCCGAGACTCTTCTTGAGACCGGCGAAAGGCAATGCGAACCGCCGTGGAAGATGGCGGAGTCGCCGACGTCGACCTCGTGGACCTGATCGATCTCACCGATGCCACGGAGCTGGTCGACGAGTGTCGGATGCGTACGGTCTCGGTAGTGACCGTGCATGGAGCCTTCTGTTTAGTAGGCTTAGTAGCCTTAGCGGCTGCCGACACTGAGGCCTTCGAAGTCGTCGACATAGCTGCTCTCGGCCTTTTCTGCGCGGCCTTTTTCGCCCTTGTTTGGCGAGGCCCGGTCTCCGCCGAGGGATCGACAGATGCTGTTGTCGATGCCTTCGAGGTCGAAGCCGATGTCGAAGGCCTGGATACCGCGGCTGACGTTGACGCCGATGTCGATGTTGAAGGTACCGGAGCCAACGTCTGCTGGTACAGAAGGTATCGAAGTCGATGGACCCGGTTCTTACGGGACTGTGCCGTCAGAGATTGACAGTGACGACACGAAGAGGTAATGTGTGCCTCTCCGAGACACAAGAGGCAAAGAGCGTGCTTGTCCGAATCAGGGATCTTCCTCGGACAGTTTGCGCATCTTTTGAAGCGAGTTGTTGACATAATCCAGTCAACAACTCGAGGAGAAACTCTAAGAAGAATCACTAGAATCACTATCCAACTAGAATCACTATCCAACTAGAAGTACCGAAGCGAGCCGTGCGGCGGAAAAAAAGGAATTGGATCGGTGTGCGCGGGGCGCCCTTTTATCCCCTGCCGGGGCTGGGCGGGGTTACCGCCAAAACTTGAAAATTTTTAAAATGTAGAAGTTTCCGTTGGAGCCCGCGCAGGCGCAGTCTCTCCACAAGTGTGCATTCGCAGAGACCACGAAGAAAAATTTGTGGTATTGATGCCAATGATATCCCAATTGTTTCTTTCCCCCATTATTTTTTACCTAGATGCTTTCAACCTGGTTTCCAGGATTTTAGTCATGGATCTCTTCACACATGTAAAGATTTATGACATACTATGCTACTCCTTCTTTCCAGTTTTCTCTGTTTCTTTGAGATAGGTTATAACTCCTGTTGCTACATTCAAATCATGAGACTCACTGACAGGTTTCAGTGATGCTTATATAATATTTGTTTTGCTGTATTAAGAATTCAAGTTCATCTATGCTATGTGAATTAATGTAGAAACATTTTAGACCATGGGTCTATTCTCCTAGCTGCTTATTTAAGACTTTTTCATCCCACTGTTGATTTCTTATACTATTTGCCTAGTTGTCTCTGTAACAGTCAAGTTATTATCTGCAGCATCCAAGGAACACGTTCACTATACTATGGTCTCTCAGCCCCAAATAACTCAAGCTGGATCTAAACTGCCATAGAATCCAGTTTCAGAATGCAATTAATCTGCATTCAGAAACTGGATTATATGGCAGTGTAGATGGGAGCCTCAGTTTAAAACTCTCCTGTTCAGATTTCTGAGACTTAGCAAAAACTGCATTTCATTTCTTATAATTCCTTTCTTCCTAACTCAATCTGTGTTTATAAGATGTTGGAGCATCCCTGTGTATAGTGATTCTCTACATTATCAATTGAACAGCATTATATGATTGCCTTGATTAAATAGGACTACAGGGTATTCCTGTAGAGAAAAAAACATACATGTAAAAACTGCCACATAATCGATAGAATCACACTTACTAGCTGTTTGCCTGTATATACATCATTGAGTATTTAACTATCCTGATAGTGTTCAGCAGTTTTTTGGCTCGATTTTTGTAACGATTTTTCCCAATACATGGATTGAAAGCATTTTAAATAATGCATTTTTTTCTTTCCCCAATCACTTCCCCAAGAAACTGTATTAGTACCCTATTCAGAATAATTAATTTCCATTGAAACCCCTTTCTCTTCCTTTATCATGTTTTAAGATAGCAAATATTTCTGATGACTGAATTAGCAAAACAGTCAGTGATCAAAAGTGACCTCTGCCTAACTGCAAATGGCATAATGCTGCCTTGATGTTTGGAATTAGCAACAATTGTTCATGGCTAATGGCCTTCCTGGAGGTTTATGATCAATACACAATGCTGCTATAACGTCTAGCAATCCATTTCCAGCAGCTAAGTGTCCTTTTGAAAACAGCTATAATCTTTAGAATTTGAACTCTGGGTTTCACTTTTCCATTTCAGCATTAAAGGGGAATAAGTTCGCCTTTTTATCTCTAGAATTTTATCTCTGTTGCAATTACATTTTAAAAGGTAACAGAGAGTATATATTATATGTGAATCAAGGACATCTATAAGGAACAGGGTTGTGTGTGTGTGAGTGCTTTACCCTGCATTGTTACAAAAATTCTATTATGTAAGATGAGTCATGAAATTACATGTCTCAGTCTAGACTTTTTGCATTGCATCCATCCTACTGAAGTCATATCCTTTGCCAAGGTATTTCCATAAGGAGACTTGCTCATTTTTAACCACACTTTGGAGCTCACCTCACCAACAGAGTGGTGGAGGGAGTAGAGGGAACCATCTTACTCTGTTCCCTCCTGGCTTTCCTTGTCTTCTGGGATTGCCAGCTATTCAACATCCTTTCCACAACGAGCTCTGTCTTTCCCCCCACTTTCTTCCACTTTTTCCCTGTTTGAAGTCGGGCAACACCCATTTCCTGAAGACAGCTTTAGGGCTCCATATCCATGTAGTTTGGAAACAAAGCCCCATGGAGTCCCACCAGAAGTGCCCTTAAGTCATGTGATGGCCTCTGTGAGGCTCAATTTCTGAGGTGCATGGAAACAAAGCACTAAAGCCGTGGGATGAAGTCCTTAGACTGCAAGTTATAATAAACCTCAAACTGCATGTAAATGATGGCTTAAAATTTGAATCTGACTTTGAAAGTCTGGATCTAGTTTTCTGTGAGGAAGTCTGCAGAAAGATTGATGATCTGAACTTTCTTGGATTTTTTTGGTTCCAGTTCAACCCATGTTGGTTTCATGTAGAAGAACAACATCTATCCCATAGTATATATTTTTTTAAAAGGTGAAATGTGCAGGTATAAAATGCAAGCTGCATCCAGTGTACACTCATTACTGAGTGGTGCCGATTGAGGAAACTTACTCTCTACCAGAAACAACCAATGGAGCCAACTTCTTATCTGATTTAAAAGGACAAATAATTGTTCGGTGATATGAGTTCCTATACCAATATAACTGTAGCAATCTACCCTTCCAGCACACCAGTCTTCATATTAGTCCTGCTAGCAGCAGGAGTTGGTTATTTTGGATAAGATATATAGCAGAGTAGAGTCTTGCTTATCCAACTTTTGCTCATCCAGCATTCTGTATTATCCAATGTAGTCTGCCTCCTGCCCGGAGCCATAGCTATTTCAATATATGGTGATGTTTATGTGTTAAATTAGTAAATACAGTAATTACTACATAATGTTACAATGTATTGGATTGTTTTTCTATTGATTTGTTGTAAAACACGATGTTTTGGTGCTTAATTTATAAAATCATAATGTAATTTGATATTTAACAGGCTTTTCCTTAATCTCTCTTTATTATCCAACATTTTTGCTTATCCAGCATTCTGCTGGCCCATTCATGTTGGATAAGCGAGACTCTACTGTACTAGAAAACAAATTTAAAACAACACCCATCCCAAGAAGAGACATTTGACTTTGTGGAATCTTGCTGCAAAATAAAAGAGGTGTTAAGAATTGTGTTAATAAAAAATAAAATGTACTTGGCCATGCTTGTGGACCCAGGGCAGGGGTGTCATATGCTTCTGCCCTCTTTTTATTCTGAAGGGCCATGGAATCAGAAGTTTTCACTGTTTTTTTATTGATGTTGTTTAGTTTACATTGGAACTTTTAACTGGTGGTTTCTTGAAACAAATGATCATAAGCCATAGTTATCAATGGCAGCCCCCCTGCCCCCAGCCATAGTTGATATTGAACAAACTTTGTTTGCATTAATTTGAAATAGCCAGCTCTGGTCAATCTGGAACATAATTTTTCATAGCCGTACCTGAGAAAAAGAATGTAAGCCTGAGTCTTATATTAGTAAAGCCAAACCTATATTAGCCATGGTTTATTATAGCGCATGAAAAGAGCCACATCGTACTATAACTTTATAATGGTCTGGTGAAATTATTGAGATATTTTTCTGCATTTATGTAATTGTACATCTTAGGCTGGGAAAATGCGGCTTTGTGCTACTCTGGAAGGGGGCTCTTCTCTTCCCTCATTAGATAACTGAGTAAACTAGTTAAACTGTCTTCTTTTCTCTTAAGGCTGATAAATGCAAACTGAGACTATTCATTCTGTGGTGTAAAACCTAGAACTGATTGTGGTTCAAAATTATGTAGACAGAGTTGGTTTTGCTTAAAAAGAACACACTGGATAATTATCACTATAAGTCTATTAAATGTGAAAATGGTTAACACGATTTATTCATTAAAATCCAGCCAAGGAAGATATACTCTTTCTGCCTTTGATTTCAGCCTTTCATTTGAAAACAAATTATTATTTGGAAGAACACCACTGAGATTAGAAAATATGAGTGACAAAACTTAGTCTACTTCTAATGAGAAACGTTGACCCTTTTAAGGGGGTAACATTAGGAGAGCTCATTTAGTTCTAATTTTTAATAATTCTGCATACCATCAGCAGTCATTTAATTAGATCCAAACAGACATCTAATTGTGGCTGTTTAGCTTAACAGGCTTTCATCAACATATTTTTAATGATCCCCAATATAACAGTTGCAACTGAGAAAACTTTCAGAACTTTTGAAAATTATACCAAGGGAGAAAGTATATAATGTGCCACATAATTTTCCTTTCTTTTTCTTGTTTTTTTCCACCACAAGGGAGAAGGAAAGAGTCTTGAATACCATGGAACATGACTTCTCGGTGCCGAGGACCAGAGTTTCACGCTTTACTGGTGGCGGTTATCCACTTAGCAACCCACCTCCCAAAATTGTGGTCTGAATCATTGGATCAGTGCACCGTGTCAACTGTTTTGGCACCTTCTGAACTAAACATTTTTCTTTTTGGAAATATTTTGCATAATAATATATGGTGCTTTTATAGTAACGTGCACTAAAATACTACCTTGAGATCACTGATAAGAAGGAAAGTTTGACAATAATGTTTGCTACAAGGATGCCACTCTGCATTCTGTAGTTATCAGTGGAGTCACTTCTCCTTTTTAAAAGCAATCTTATGCCACTGGGAACTTATCATTGGTTGTAAGTTCTGGTCATTTCCAAGAAAATATACTGAGGATTGATGGTAAATTGGTAATCAACTTGATGCATATTATATTGCTTCAATCCATCTCTTTCTAAATATATCCCTTGAAACTACATTGAAAAAAACAAGAATGTTATTCTCCATCAAAATGAGCTAAAAATTATCTTAATGGAACATTAATGTATGAAGGTGTAAGGTCATGTGTTATACAATTGCAAAGTTCATTATGACAGAGGTAGGTAATTTGGAGCCTTCCAGATGTTTTGCCTTATGTAATGAGCAATCCTGGCTAGGACTTATGGGAGTCATCGCCTAAAATATCTGCAGGACACCAGATTGACTATTTCTGTGTTCAAGAGAACAGAAAGGTAATCTTGAGCTGACTCTAGTGAATACATTTCTTTTTTATTTTAGATACCAGGTCAGATTGGAACATCTTTAACTCTATTTAGATTTTCTTATTTTCAGTTTAAACTTATTAAAATGAGGGCATTGAGTTACTTTTGCAACATTTAACCTTTGTTTACATATGAAGCCTTACATGTTTCTCCACAATGAAAAACCTTTTTCAACCTCTAAGAAATCGGGTTATCATACATTAAGAAGCCATATGAGAGATACACTGTCTGAGTTGCTGTAGGTGGTGGGAACTTAAAATAAACTTTATAAAATCTGTTTTTATGTGGAATGCTTATTTTCATTTTTGGGATGTAAAAATAACTTCAAGGAAATTTCTGATTTTTAATTTAGGAACACTTGGAAAGATATTGATCATCACTTTGATATAATGAGAAGTTGTTTATTAAAGCTATGAAAACCCATTAATTTAAGTGTTTAATTAACATAAATCAAGTAAAATATGATATGGAACATTTTGCCCTTACATCGGGGACCAGTGTTGTATTAAATATTATATTATTTTGTGGTTTCTGAATCAACAATCCTTCTTATCAGAGTTTCTGTATCATATGTCTTATATTCTTACAATTTCTACAGTCTACTTGCTATTAATAAAAAAAGGATTAGCAGCATAGTCTTCAGAGAAAAATGTAAGTGAATCAGTAGAACAATTACAGAATGCTTAATTTTCCATTGTGGAAATAGCTCAAATGGGCCATACTATCTCATCTACTATTGGATTTCAGATTTCTATTCAGTAGTTTATAAATAACATTACAACAAGGCTCATATGTCTTTTTACAAAGTGCTAAGTATCCATGCTGGGGAAAATGGAAGGAAAAAGGAAGAGGGGGCGACCAAGGGCAAGATGGATGGATGGCATCCTTGAAGTGACTGGATTGATCTTGAAGGAGCTGAGGGTGATGATGGCCAACAGGGAGCTCTGGCGTGGACTGGTCCATGAGGTCACGAAGAGTTGGAAATGAACAACAACAACAACAACAAAGGTATCCACCATAGTGAGATGAGCTTCGTGTCTGAATGAGAAGAAAGTTCTGAACCTTTCTCCACCTATATTTCTACAGCCTCCTTCTTCCACTTGTATTTCTGTAAGTGGAGGTTACTACACACTGCTCAGCAAGGAGAAATTAGGCTAAGAGGGTAAATATAGAGCTAAATATAATGATAGATAGTATGGTGTAATGGTGCAAGCATTGGACTATGACTCTGAAGATTATGGTTTGAATCCCTACTTGGCCTGGAAGCCCACTGGATGGACTTGGGCAAGTTATACTTTCTGAGCCTGAAAGGTAAATTTCCCTGAATAAAACTTGCCAGGAAAACCTTATGATAGGTTTGCTTTGGGCTCTTCATAAGTCATAATGACTTGAAGATAAACCAACAGCAGAGCCAAAAGATTAAGTTTATGAATGATCCCTTTCTATTTAAAAGTGTGGGTGGTTCTCTGGTCATGTCTGTTTAAAACTTAATTGAGAGTCAGTATGCTTCTTCTACCCACTGCTTTTCTGCTTGAAATTGATCATTTCTCCCTTTGATAGTTGTGGAGAGATCTGGAGTCTAATACAGGGGTGTGTTCCATCAGTTAATCTTTAGGGAAACTTCTGAAGAAGACAAAGGAAACCTGTTGCAGAACTAAAAATTGAACCGGCTAGATATGCACCCTCATACAGCACATATACACATTTAATTTATATTTTCCTCATGCTGTTATTGTTATATACATTCTACCTAATACAAAGAAGCAGCAATATTGATTGAAGCTCTTAAATTCCCATGTGCTGTTGCATATTAATAATATATACAATGGTCCTCTGCATTTTTGGATTTGGCTCTTACGGATTTGATTATTCATGGATTTTATTGAAGTGTCCTCTCCAAGAATAAGGAAGTCTTCCAGGAAGACCTAGAGATTCTGAGGGAGAACACTGCTCTAGGGAGCTCAAGGTCCTGCAGTGTGATTCTATGATCAATATTATGTGGAATTTGATCATAGGTTTTAAAAAAATCAGTATTTTTCACTTTCACAGGTCCTGTGCCCTTAATTGCAGTGGATGTGGAGGGCTGTATTATTTACTTATTTATTATTTACTGCATTTATATACTGCTTTTCTCACCCCTGAGGGGACTGAAAGCGGTGTACAACAAGTAATGGCAAGATTCAATGCCAACATATATACGAAACCAAAGCATAATAACTAAAATGATAACATATACCATTAACTATAAATTAAACCTTAAAATCATATTAAACATAGAACATAAACAGACATTTAAATTAAAATGTAGAACTATGTACAGCATAGCTTGTAGCACTTTATGCTTCTGTTTTTAAATATATCCTGGATATTCTTTTTGTTTCCTTTTTTCATATGTCCAAATATTAATAAAAGGTATCAAGAAGTACACCTGTTTTCCTCCTAACTGGACCTTTCACCTGACCTCTGTTCTGTATCTGTAAGGATACGGTCGTGCAGGCAATCTGGAATCTTCTTATAACTTTATGTGAACTGTTTTCCTGAACTTCCTGCATCTGTGTATTGTGGATGTTCATAACTCAATCCAGCCTGAAGATGCTCCTAACTGGACCTTTCACCTGACCTCTGTTCTGTATCTGTAAGGATACGGTCGTGCAGGCAATCTGGAATCTTCTTATATCTTTATGTGAACTGTTTTCCTGAACTTCCTGCATCTGTGTATTGTRGATGTTCATAACTCAATCCAGCCTGAAGATGTTTATTGACGCAAAAGGCTGTCTATTAGAGACATTATTTCATCAAAGACTGGACGTGCTCTATAAATCTTTGGGCATTAGTTGATACAGTAAGACTCTTGGACTTGTTTTATCTCTGAAGTTTCTGAATGTTTTATAGTGTAAATATATAGAGGGTTTTTTTTTTTAGTATTTTGGTAATTTTACAATTTTACTATTGTACCCTTTTACTAGTTTATAAAAATATTTTTATACTAATATAACACTAACAAATGTTTTTCTTTCTGACATTGCTTAAGAGATACTCAGCATGCAGAACCAAAACAAGGCAGCAAATGCTAACTCCCAGACAGTGCCAGCAGAATTCTGCCCAGATCCAGGGCCTGCTCATACAGACAAAGTTAATAAATTGTATCCACTTGGTAGTTGTCTTGATCCTGGCACATGAAGTACAACCCTTTAGCAGTGAAAGTGTTTCATTTAGGCTTTAATGCAATGTACCAAAACTTACTTATTACATTTGGCCCGGCCATAGGTTTTTAAATGCTGTATGTTATTGTTATTGTTATTGTTTATTGCTTATTGTGTATTTTTGGTTTTGAGTTTTATTTTAACTGTTTATATTGATTATTTGTTATTACCTTTGTTTATGATGTGCTGGGGCTACAAAGTGGAATCCTCGACATGCGAGTGTGGAGAAGAGCAAACCACTGACCACCTGCTGCAATGCAACCTGAGCCCTGCCACATGCACAATGGAGGACCTTCTTGCAGCAACACCAGAAGCACTCCAAGTGGCCAGATACTGGTCAAAGGACATTTAACCAACTACCAAACTCACAAGTTTTGTATTTGTCTGTTTGTTTGCTTTGTTCTGTTAGAAATGTAATATAATGGGCTGGTTGCTCTGACACGACAAATAAAATAATGATGTGCTGTGGGCTTGGCCTCATGTAAGCCGCACCGAGTCCCTTGGGGAGATGGTAGCGGGGTACAAATAAAGTTTTATTTATTTATTACTCCATTTCCAGGAAAATCTGGTCTGTCACTGTCTATAGCAGTGTGTGTCCTATCTAGATCAGGGTGGTGGCATTGCCATTTTTTACATGACTAGTGCTGTTTGCTGGGGTTAAATATCTCTCATTTTGTTTTGGAAAGAGATGGAGTAGGTGGAAAGAGGCAATGGAAAATCACTTCTTCTGAAAAGGTTTATCACTGGCTTCCTTTTTCTTGTATTTCTGTCCAGGAAAGCAACAGGGCGGGTGGAAGATCCCCAACTTTTCCTTTCTGTTTGTGTGGGCTATCACCACTGCCTTCCCAATTAAGCAATTTTGCAACAGTGCCTAATTGGAAAAGTTGCTTGCTCGAAATGAGGTGACCAAATATGATATCAGCGATGAGGCTTTCTCCTCAACATTGTTCATATTGCTAGGAGCCTCATTCTTGTGTGCCCTTTTAATAAACAATACAAATTGTGCTTGTGGAATTTGTGTTGTGTTCTTATGTCTAACAGTGAGGAGGCTGGGTTGCTGTGAGTTTTCAGGGTTATACAGCCATGTTGTAGAAGCAGAGGCGGCCCTAGGTAGTTTTCAACAGTAAGCAAACAGTATTTTGGCACCCCCCCTCCCCCAACCAATCACTGATATATATTTTCTGTTCGTCATGGGAGTTCTGTGTGCCATATTTGATTCAATTTCATCATTCGTGGAGTTCAGAATGCTCTTTGATTGTAGGTGAACTATACATCCCAGTAACTACAACTCGCATATGTCAAAGTCTATTTTCCCCCAAGAGCGCCTCAAGAGCGCCCCTGGGCAAAATCAACTGTACTGCAAATGCTTATTTTGCGTAATGGGTTGAGCCGCCCCTGTGTAGAAGCATTCTTTCTTCATGTGAGGAGGCTATTCTAAAATTATAGAGATTTTTAAAAGTTTTAAAAGTGGCATATTTTATGAAGGAAATGAAATGTATCTATCCAGTTTCCCAGCCTGCTTATGTAGTTACAGCCATGATCAGCTTGTATAGTCAGTTAGAGACTAATGTATGTTGAAGCATCTGATCTTTCTCCACTGGACTAGTAACTGTGAATGCATTATGGAAATATGCATTGGCCCTCCTGTTTCGGGGTTCCTTGTTGGCTTACAGCAGCTCTAAACATTTTTAAAACTGCCCTCACAAATTCTTAAAAAATGCTATTTTTACATGCATTTGTTGTGTTTGAAATGAACTTTGTTCTGTTTCTGAAGGCGTGTGTGCTTTACACTGGCAGAATGCCACCAGTGTCAACAAAACTAAGTTTATTTATATCAGCAGGTAATCTGGCAGGCTCATGTGTAGACAGGTGGATTCTCCTAGAAAAAGGGCACATTTGCTGATTTCAGCGGAATCATTCCTTCCTCTCTCTTTCACATCTTAACTATTCTGCTTATAAAAATAGCAAAAATAAAATTGAGATATAATCATCTCAGGTTTTTGATGAGCTCAGATTTTCCAATGATGCTTCACATTTTTTTCATGTCAGTAGCGACGTGAGAAACTGCAAGTAG